AAATTAGCGGAGTTCAAAATTATAACATAGAGATTTTTACAGATGCATTTATTCTGGGTGGGGGAATCTTTCAATAATAATAATACTCATGGGTTTTGGTCTCAGAGTCAGATAAAATATAGGTTTCAATTTATTTGAATTATAGCTGGTTAATTTATAGTTAAATTAGATTTGTAAATATTTGTTTATAAGGTTTTCATTCAAATAAACCGCTTAGAGCTAATTGCTGTTTATTACACATTCAAATCATTCGCAAAAGATCAAGAAGGATGAAATATTTTATTAATGGTTGACAACAAGACGGCTATAGCCTGTATTAAAAAAAAGCGAAGTAGAAAATATACAATCAACATAAAAAAAGTTCAAGCAAACTTCGAATCTAGATCATTATCAATTAAAACAGAATACTATGAACTTAATGATAAAACTTTTAAACAAATATGTAAAAAATTGGGTATTCCTATAATTGATTTATTTTCTACTAAATTAAATTCTAAGTGTGATAATTATGTTTCTTGGGGTCCTGATCCAGATTGTTGTCACGTAGATGCATTTACTATTAAGTGGAATTTTTTCTTTTATGCTTTATCCCCTTTTTCAATAATCTCGATGGTGTTACAAAAAACAATCTTAAATGAGGCTATAAGGATCTTAACTGTACCTGATTGGCCATCACAACCTTGTTATCCGCTTGTAAATAAACCTGCAATTTGCAAACCTCTTGTATTTATACCGAAAAATAAATTTACTTTCTCTTTTCAGGAACCCTCACTCTCTACACAGAAATCTTACATTGATTGCTAGGAAATTATCAGGGAAGCAATGTTAACGAGAGGAGTTCCTGAAAAAGCAATACCAATAATGACAGCATCTATTTTTAAAGGAACGTTTAAACAATATGACACTTGTTACAGGAAATGGTGGGATTATTGTAATAATAATAATAATAATAATAATAATAACAACTATTGAATTTAACTTAAAACATCTTATATTATTTCTACAGAAACAAATGAATTTTATTTTATCGTATTCAACCTTAAATACTCATAGATCAGCTCTAAATCTCATAAATCCACTAAATCCTGCAGAAGAGATTATCATAAAAAGATTTTGGAAGGGTATATATAATATTCGGCATCCGCAACCCAGATATCAATACAGTTGGGATCCGGAATAATATTAAATTATTTAAGACAATTATTTCAACTGGAAACATTAAAATTAGATATGTTAACAAAAGACTTAGCAATGCTATTGGCTTTAACATCAGGACATGGGATTCAAACGCTTTCACGCTTTCAAAGATCTCTTTATATAATAGGTTTATTCAAAAAAACTGGCAGATAAAATTATGACCTCAAGACAAAATAAGCTACAACCAGTTTTACATTTTTCATTTTTACTTTCCTATCTGTATACAGATATAAGGAAAGTATAGGAATCATGATTTTTTTCGACCTCGAGTTTTCGACGGATTTTTACGTTTTGAGGTCCCCTGAATCCGTTTTGACTATTTTCGCGATGATGTCTGTGTGTGTGTGTCTGTCTGTGTGTGTGTGTGTGTGTGTGTGTGTGTGTGTGTGTGTGTGTGTGTGTGTGTGTGTGTGTGTGTGTGTGTGTGTGTGTGTGTGTCTGTAGGTCGCATAACTCATGAACCGATACACAGAAAAACACCAAATTTTAAACTTAAGCTTTGTTTCAGCGTCCAATGAGCTGATTAGATTTTGGGCAGAGTCGGAACATCTGGGGGGTACTTTATAGGTGGTCATTTTTATATTTTATGGAATATATCTGTTATTTACGTTTGGAGAAGAAAATTCTTCAAATAAAAGTTACTTCTTATATAATTATCTATAATTTTTGTTTTATGCAAAATTTTCCTAAAATGGTCCGTATTCGAGAAATTTGACAAAATGTAAAAAAAATAATTTTTTATAAAAATTATTCAAATAAAAGTTGTTTGTAATATAATTCTCTATAATTTTTATCCCATAAATAATTTCTCTAAAATGGACCGTATTCGAGATATTTGAGAAAATGTGTAAATTTCGAATTTTGAAGAAAACTCAAAAACGGATAAAGTAAAAAACATTAAATTTTAAACTTAAGTTTTATTTCGACCTGAGGTGAAATGATTAGATTTTGGACAGAGTCGGAACATTTGGAGGGGTACTTTATTGATGGTCATTTTTATATTTTATGGAATATATTCGTTATTTACGTTTGGGGAAGAAAATTCTTTAATTAAAAGTTACTTATAATATTATTATCTATAATTTTTGTTCTATGTCAAATTTTCCTGAAATGGTCCGTATTCGAGAAATTTGACAAAATGTGCAAAATTCTGATTTTTAAGAAAATTGTTAATCTAAAAGTTGTTTGCGATATCGATCTCTATAATTTTTGTTTTTAAATGACTTTTCTAAAATGGACCGTAATGGAAAAATTGGAGGAAAAGTGCTAAATTAAAATTTTTCAGTATTTTCGTTTTCAATGAATATCTATAGAAAAATGTTTCGAGGTAGATGTATGTGGAAAATGTATATATTTATTTTATCCTCTAAACATTTTTAGAGATGCTGCAATAGGTTAACTAGATAGGAAAGTCATGTGTTGGACACATCAGATTTTTTAAAGAATGTCCTGAACTCTGTGTTGCTTCTATTATTATTCATTACATAAAGATAACAAAAGAAATTAGAAATTCAAATAATACGTATATGATTTTAACCCATAAAAAAACCTTATCGTCAAGCTTCATCTCAAACCATAAGTAGATGGTTAAAAGATGTATGTATAGATACCTCAGCGGCTTACAGGTTACATACAATTAGAAATTCAGCAGGTTGGATACAGGCTTCGGTTGTTTTTAATAGATTTTGTAATCGACCTGTGATTAGCGAACCAAAAGAGTTTGCACAGATAATATTACATATTTAGGAATGAAAAGTTCCAGACTAAACTTAGTAGATTACTAAGATTAAAAGAATTTTGTTTAATTTTGTTCTATGTTGTTATTTTCTTGTTTAATATTACAATTTCTTATATAATAAAAGAAAAATAAGAAACTAGTATGGTTACTTTTATAGATCGCATAATAATCTATAAACATCTACAAATATATGTGTATTGAAGAAGAAAGACGGTGGAAAATTAAAAAATTGATTGACTTACCTATAAGGAAGATCAATTTTAATTTTTCGAGTCTTTCTTCCGAAGATACTCATAATCCACCCCCCATAAAAACGACCCAAGTGCGATCTGTTGGGGTCGGTACAAATAACGAAATGAGAATTAAGACCGTCTTATCAATATTTTTTGCTGTTCGTTGGCATGGGCGTAACGTTAAAGGTTCGAATACAAATATATGAGTATCGAAAAAGAAAGGCGAAGGAAAATTAAAATTGATCTTCCTTACAAGTAAATCAATCAATTTTTTAATTTTACGGCCTTGCTACACAAATTACTATTAGACGGCTGTCTCATGAAGTAGATCCAACATTTTTTTTTGTATATTTTTGTCATTGAAAAGAGACTTAAATGAAAGAATTGTATCAAATTTTTATTGATCTAATAAAAAAATTATTGTTAGGTAATAAAATTTGTACAGAATTACTAACGATAAATATAATAAGCGGTCGTACAGTAAATGCGACAAAAAATTTTTGGGGATGTTAATAAATCCGTAAAATGTCACTTAAAATAAATATCGCTTAAAATAGTTTTTTGAGTAAATACCAAGGCTGTAAAGTTGCTTGGCCTCTGCCACAAATTTCTGATTCGGCCAAAAAAGATCATACGGCCGAGGTGTACATATTTTTTAGGCGACTGTCTTATCAAGTATAGCCAATATTTTTTTACATTCTTGTTTTTGAAAAGAGGCTTAAATCAAAAAATTGTTTTAAATTTTTATTATTCGAATAAAAATTCATTGTTAACTAATAAAATTTGTACAGAATTACTAGTATGATAAATCTGCGTTCATAAAAAAGCAGCCGTAAAGTAAATGCGGTAAAAAAAGTGACACTTATAAGCGGCCGTAAAGTATATACGGCCAAAAAGTTACACTTTAGGGATAATAAATCCGCAAAATGTAATTTTTTATAACAGTCGCCTAAAAAATACATTTTTTAAAATGTGAAAATTCACATTTCGAAAGAGTACAAACAAATTAAACTAAAAATAATTAAAAACAATCTTTTAGATAAGTTAAACGACAAATGATTTTAAAATTAAATTTTACATGTTATCACAAAGTTTATTTAGATGATTTTGTTGATAAAATATGGAGTGATCAACAAAAAATGTTTCAGAAGTAGGTAATGAAAAAACATGCATATCAGAAAGTATCGTTGTCTTTGTCTGTCATGGCCTAATTTAGAAACATTTTTGTGGATCACTCTTTACAGAAAATCTTGCCAGGATTGAATTCTAAAATAATGTAAGACATGTAAGGGATAGAAAATGTATATTAATATAGGTACATAATGGATGATAATTTAACTGGACTCAGTTTTTATGCGTCAATCATGGACGGTATAAATCAGAGACGAATAAGGAAATATATAGATACTGATAGCCCAAAAAATCTACTACCAAAAGAAGACCTTTTAAAATAATGTAATAGGAAACCTTACTCTTTATCCACAGCTTGCTACGTTTAAAGTTATTATTTGATAAGTGACAAAAAAGGGATAAGTGACCGATGGCAAGTGGTAGATGGCAAGTGACAGGCTAGTATTTATACATACAAATGACGTAACCAGTGGATGATAAGGAAGAATATCACAGAATTAATACTATCACAAATTATATATCGTATTCAATTGACAAATAAATAACGTGAACGTAAGGAACTGGTGATTAATCAAATTCACCATATTCAGTCAAGAGAATACTTGTGTGGTGAAAATTTATTCCAATAGAATAAGTGATCTTTTACATAACTAGGCATTCCAAACAAAATGGCTGACCATGGGTAATGATAGGTTATAATATGGCAACCCTGTGGGACTGGTGACTTGATAGGGTCAATGATATAGATAGTTAAATAGATTCATCCAAGTTTTTCAAAATAAAGATAAGCTTTTGCCTTGAAGTAAAAACGTACTATATTCAAAGTCTGAAAATGTATTTTTAAACACATTTTTGCTAAACCAATTTTGATTAATGAGCACTTGCGAGGCAATATGGCCGCACGCAAAACAACCCGCTTTGAGCAATCTATATAACTATATATGTATCACTGACCATGCCAAGGATAACAAGCCCACAGGGTTGCCATATCATACCCTGTTATTACCCACGGGCACCATTTTGACAGATCGTTGAATTGCCTAACCTTCTAACGCTAGAGACACGAGTATATGGATTTAGTTTTTTTACTTTTTACAGAATATGTTCCAGTCACAGAGGAAACGATGTAGTACCACGTATCTTATCTTACTAATTTTTTGGAATTGGAGTAAACATAACCATGGCTGTTCCTAAAAGACTCATCCGATCTTCCTACATACTCACTGAGGAAAATCGTAATACGAATAATTCAAACAATTTAGTCACAATACTGTCTCTAGCTTGACTGCACCATTATCGAAAGTGCTAGTCTAGTTGTCATCTAGTTCTTCTTATTGCACAAAAATATTTACATACAGTAAATGTTCTATTGTTTATTTTATTTGCTTGTCGCTGATGATTTGACATTCACAGAGTGTGTGATTTTTGGCCTGGTGAGTCCTGTATTCGTACGTAGAAGTGCTCCCAGAGCTTTTGCGTATGTACATGAATGTCAATGTAACTTCTGTTTCGTTAGCTGATTTGCATCTTTCGTTGTATTTTTCACAGCAGCCTGCGTTTTCACACCTGTGCAATACCACGCTATAAGGATGTACCTACAAAAAAATTAAACAATTGTTATTATTTTGTAAAAAATATTGGTAAATAACTTAAAATGAAACTGAATAGTACAACAGGGGTTCAACCCCCTTGGAGGGAAGGGATCAAGTGACACATAATTTTAAAGGTAATTTTATTTAGAATTCAGCTATATAATTTAATGAAACATAAATTTAAACAATTGAAAGATCGTGCAGATATCTAACGTTAAGAAATACAAATTTTAATCGTAATCGGCTGAAGTAACAAATGTATGCTACAATTAGCTTTCAAATAAAGTGTCACATTTTCCATAAAATTACCTTTAGAATAATGTTCCACTTGATCCCCTTCTTATTTAGGATTCTAAGGGCAACTACTACACTCCTGCGAGGTTGAACGATAAGGACTAAATAAATGTACACCTTAAAAATAAAATTGACGAGTCTTTCCGATTTTTCATATTATTTACTGGAAGGAAGTTTTCACTAGTAATACCACTAGAGGTCAAATTATTTCCGGAAATTTTTTCGAGCTCATGAATATTAAGAGAAAAAATTTCCTGATATTAATTTGACCTCGCGTGGTATTCGGTAAGAAAATTCCACGCCGAATTATGGTTGAAAATTAAATATTTTTAAAATTTATTTTTCGTTTCTCAACAATGCAAATTATTTTCTCCAAGTCATCAGTGAAACATAAAAGGTGTTGTCGCCTTGATTGTTGAGTTGTCATGGTAACTAAGTGAGACCCTAACCTCGAATATAATTTCAGTTTTGAAGTTGTCAAGCGGCCCGACGTAAAAAAATGTTTCGCTGCAATTATTTAGGCCTTCAAATTGCTTATTTCTACTCATTGTAGTTGCATGAGAATATCATTTGAAAATAGAAAATAGTATATTCTTTAATTTTACGTAAGTTTTGAATAACTACAAGTGGTAGAAAATTGTTTTTCTGCGTTTTTATTAACATGCGTTATGAGCGCTTTAAAATGGTATGAAATTCATAACCAGCGTCAGCAAGCATCAATCGTAGGAGGCTGTGATCATTGTATTTTGACAGTTCAAAACATTAAATAACTCGCGTTTTGTTGGGATAAAGAATATTGCACAGAAAGTAAAACCAACAAAATTACCTATTTGTTTGAAAATGAATCGATTTGAAAATCATACGCTATGCAAAATATGCGTGAAATTGTCTGATGTAATGATCAATCATTGCACCATGACTTACTTACTTGGATTAATAGAGGATTGTGGCTCCAACTTGAAAAACGAAAATTTGTTCCGAATTGTCCACGAATATTTGCACCTAAACTACGCAAAATTCAAAGTGCTGAATGGGAAAAAGGTGAATAAATTAGTGTCTAAATATTATATATATTTTATTAGACATAGACACATAATTCAAAGCATCCAAAGTCCTGCATTTTCGCCATTAAGAAGAAAAGAAGTGGCCGAAAAATATAGAAAACACCTTAGCATTGTAACTAAAATGTATCAAAACTAAACCTATTATGTGAACAAATAAAAACCAGTCTGTCAAAAATGGTCTGTTATTGTAAACGTCAAAAAATTTCCAGTATAATTCGCTGTTGGGTACCCCACGAGAAAAAAATTTCCACTAAAATACCTCCGTTGCCATGGTGATCTGTCAGAAACATGTTTTTTGATTGGTTCAAAATTACAGGTGTGGAATTTTCAAATTAACACCCGGTTTAGCCAAATAACATGCTATATGGATCGTGATAGCTATCTTTTTTAAAATTATTAATTTAGATTTAATATAAGGCTATAATATAAGGTTATTGATCTATATGAGCCGGTTATATTATTAATTATTTGAAAAATTGTCAAGAAATGAGGACGTTAAAACAGAATACTAATATGTTATTTGTCTCCAAGCAAAACAATGTTACTGTTGCAACTGTAATAATAACCTAAACACAGAAGGATAGGTATGTTGTCAAACAAAATTAGGCATTCCAAACAAAATGGTTTCCCGTAGGCATTGATATGGCAACTCTACGGGCCTGGTGGATTTGACAGAGTCAATGATAAGATAGTTATATAGATCGAACACCCACGTTTTTTTAAAATAAACATAAGCTTATGCATTTAGCTAAAAATGTAGGTAATTATTTTTTTACTATAACGTGTATTATAAGTAGCACGCAAACCGACCCGCTTTGAGCAATCTATATATTATATATCATTGACCCTGTCAAAGCCAATAGGCCTACTAGATACACCTTGTTTACATTGAATTTGTCCACATCTTTCTGACAGTACGCTCTTCCTATGATATATCAGATATCTTCCATCAAATATCCTGTTTAATTTTTTATTAAAAAATTTACCATTCCATTTAATATATTCTATATATTAAAAAAAAAGGAGAAAAATAAAGAATTGAATGCATCAACATGAGTAGTTTATTCATTACAATCACAGATTTTATTTATCGTCTTTTATACGTATATCATATGTGGATATTGAACATTCTGGTTCATAACCTTTAGGTTCGGCAACCTACGATATTTGGTTGATGGCGTCAAGTGACAGCTTAATTTTTATTGTGCTTTTTTGAGGTTTTTTGAGATTTTAGAGAATAAATTGAACATTGAACTGTTTAATAAGGACATTAGGTTTTGTTAGCATAGATGGAGGCATATATAGGGAATAAGGCTTGATTTATTTAACATTGTAAAGACATGTATAAATAATTTTCGCTGATACCTGTCCTAAAAGAGTTGTCATTCCGTTATGCAGACATCTCCGAAAGTAGATGTGACGTGCAAGGGTATGTTTTGGTAAGATCTTTGTACACTTCACGGCCTGTTCAAGCAAACTCACAAGTTCCAGCGAATATGATATGGTTCCAACAGGATGGAGCACCACCACATCACCAAAATAATACCTGGCAGTACCTCGACCAAATATTTACAAATCGGAGGATCGATAGATCGGTAGAATGGCCAGCACGATCACCTGCTCTTAGGCCATTAGACGTTATCTTATGTAGATATGTCAAAAATATGATATACAAAAGTAAACCACGCGATTTAGTTGGTTTAAGAAAGAGAATAACGTCGGTCACGCCTCAGATCTTGATTACCGTCAGAAGACAATTTTATTTTTGATTAGCATGCTGCCATCTCCTACATTAATATTGGTGTGTTTTTTATTTTTTTTTACATTATCAAGAACGAAACTCTATTATAGTAATTAATTAATTTTTTTACTATTAATTTTTTCGATAAATTTAAAAACCACAGCATTTTTGAATAGAGTATGAGATGAAGTATCACAAGTCCCCACTTCCTATTTACAAATTTGGCAACTGTCACTCGAAGGGGGTTGAACAGATCAGTGGGGTTGAATGAAAAAGTGACATTTTCACGTTGCAGAATGTCATTGTATAATCTAAATAAATTGACGTGTTTCGGAAATTTTTATAAATATGTGATACACATGCATATTAATTGAGCTACTGAATTTATTTGATTCAGCTGTTACACACTGTATATTTGAAATTGTTTTTCTGTTTTTGCTAACCACTTCATTTCTATATCATTTTTCATGTGATTTGTTGAATATTCCTCTCAATATAACGAACACCTTAAAGAATATGGATCGTATAATGATTTTTATACCTAGTTATAGAATCTGTTTTTATTTATCCTTCAATCATTATATTTATTTCTTATAGGTATTTTCAAACACCCTCCTCAGAAAAAACTTAGCGATGCCCTTGCATAAGTATAGGACAGAAAGTCTGAAAATGTACATAAATTTTAATCTATAAAAATGAATAATTTACGATTGTCCTATTTATTAGAAAAACTACGCCACTGAACACTATTATAAGCTATTTTTAGAATAGACATTTTATGTAATTTATTAAAAACTATAGAAAGATACGACCAACTGTTTTATTATAATTTTCCCAAAGTATTACATTACATAGAGTCGTTTGTCTTGTCTTGTAGTTAATTTATTTACTTTTATTGAATTATTTTTATGGCAGGGCAAAATGTCATCGCGATAAATAAATTAGTTAATTAGTTTAAAACAGTCAATATAAAATATAGAAACAATTTGTAATGATTGTGTTAATAATTTATGATAGGAAAATACAAAATTTTTCAATACTCGCGTCGTAAACAATTTAATACATAATGAGTGAATATTTATTTTAACTGATAAAATATATTTTGCTCAGTTTTTCGTTCCCGGGTAAAAATATTAGCTTTTGTTATATTTTTTAATAAACACCATCAAAAATGTAATAATTTTCATTACAATCTGTCAAAATATTTTTCTAAGTATTCTTTATAATACGTTATCTTAATATCGTCAAATACCGACCTCATTAAATAAATATTATTGAATAGTTACTTGTTACATTCAAAACATATTTCATGACATTTATTTCTTGGTAAGGATAATGGTTATTTTTTAGCCGAGAAAAATGTATATGCCCCTAGAAAGATACCTAGGTATGGAATTTTAATATAAAACATGGCTGTGAAAATATCTGCCTTCGCTCCGCGCTCCAGTCTAGACAGCGAGTATGTTTATTATCTTACCAATTTGTCGATATATCGATTTTTTTTTCGATTTTTGATCTCATCAATTTTAGAGACCATTTATTATTCAAAATTTAACTGAAAATACAATGTTTAAATCTTTGGGAAGGCCTACTTCCGTTTTAAAACTTACTCAGGCAGATAAAAGTTCAAAAGGTTCATAAAACACGATTTTCAACTCAAAAACCACTATTTAGCACAAATATCCAGGCATAATTTTTAGTATGAATGATTCAATACATTATTATAATAAAAAAAAAAAACAAATAAATTATTAAATAGCAAGACCTCCAAATACGTTTTTTAGGTCTTTAAAAATGCGCGTTAAACCTTACTTTATCAAAAAGACAAAAACCAATATTTAGCACGAACATTCAGGTATAATTTTTTAGTATGAATGATGCAATACATTATTATAATCCAAAAA